GGGGGCGCCGCCGAGGCAGGAGGGGGGGCGGGTCAAAGGGCGGGGGCGCCCGTCTCCATGGCAACAGCCGTCTCCATGGCAACACCTCCCCGTGCTGAATTCCAGCCCGGGGTTTTGGGTTTAAACCCTGCAAATCTCGCCCATTGCGGCCGGGCTGGAATTATCCGGTCCTCACAACGCTCCCGCTTTAACCTCGGCGCAGTGATATTAGCGAAAATCCACGGCCTTTTCACTGCTTTGAGCAAAGCGTGAGGCTGGACGCTCGCCTTGTTCAGAGCGAAATAGCCCCAAAATCTGTACACGAGTGTCGAGGTAATGCAAATGTGTTCAAAGCTGTTCGCCCTAGAACTGCTCATTAAGCCTTTATTTCCCAAACTTTCAGTTCTACAAAGTAATGAGTTATTAACAGACTTTCTGGAGCAAACCAACGGAGCAATAGCTCTCTGCTCCTTCCACCAGCTTTATGTCGTTTAAAGAAATCTCCTTCTCGCTCGCTGTAGCACTTAAACACTTAATCCCTTCCACCATTTTGGTTTGAGATGCTGGGAAGAGCAGCTCCAAGAGCCTACCCATCCCACAGCAATTCCCTGTTCCCAGATCATCACACTCGCACGCGGGTGTTGAAGGGCATCCAGGCTGTAACGCTGTGCGAGGGAGCCCGGCTCATGGAGCTGTCCCCAGCATGGCCGAGCCCTTCCCGTGCCTACGAGACATGGATCCGAGCGGGGCCCTCTGCACAGAAATCCACGGTCCGGCCTTCCCTCTCGGGCCGGAGCTCCCCCCGGATTGCAGGGCACATCCACCACACTTTCTTCCCTCAAAACTATTCAATTCCAAGCTTCCTGGCATGTAGATCCCAACACGTCCTCAATCCTCCCCATGGCCCATCTGCCCGTTCGCTGGACATTCCCTCGCCCGTTCCACGGCACGTCCTCGGCATCGCTCTGCCGCCGGCTCTTGGCTTCCCCTGCCTCGTTTTGCACGTTCCTGGCCAGGCCGTATCCCGGCACGTTTGTCCATGTGGGAAATTCCAGCCGATCTTCCTCGGGTTACACTCGCTAGGGCACAAGCAGTTGAGCACGACCTGGGGGTGGTTCGATAACTCAAACTACCTCAGTTTCTGCTCAAACCTTTCATTCTTACGACAATCTTTGCTTATTCCAGCACAACAAAGGCTGTATTTATTCCCGCGGTGCTTGTGTGCTAAGTACGGAGTTAATGGGACACGGAATTGGCTGCCCTGTCCCCTAACAGGCCCGAGATCTAATTAATCTCTGGCAAGTTCATCTGAAATAGAAGCAGCGTTGGCTTGTGCAGCAGCCGAGACACCCTGCTAGGAGCCAAGCTGTGCAGGGCGATACGAGGAAGAAACAGCTTCTCCCTTACTGGTTTTTTGCAGAGTTACGTGCCAAGGTTTGAGGTTTCTGCTCTATTAGAGCAATGTTTATGCAACTCCCTCCGCCCTCATTCAGCATTTACGGAGAAATATTTGAATCCAGGAGGCACAGACTCGCCCAGGGCTGAGTGATACCGACTCTGTGATCGGGAGGGAGAACCCGGCTGCAGTTTTCCCCATGGATGGTGATTCCTTGTGTCCCAGCTACACTGGTGACATCCTTGCCTGCAGCCACACGCAGAGGCTGGTCGGGCAGCAGCCTCCAGACAGGGGCTGCAACATTTCTCTGCAAAAAGATAACATTTCTCTGCAAAAAGAGTCTTCAAAAGGTTTTTTTTTTTTCCTTTGGTTCATGAATTCTATATAAGATGGAAAACCAGAGCAGTTCCAATGTGCCACACTTTTTTACAAGCACTTACCTTACCCATCAATGCACTGAAATGACACAAGAATCAAATCCCAGCAGGACGGAGAGGGAACCACCTCCCTGGCTATTTGGGTCACTTCCTGCATTGCTTTCTGCCTTCATCATCTGTATAAGTTAACCTCCCGGCCTGGCACACCATGCGAGGAGGAGGAGGATGTGATTTTATCTCCTTGCTCGAAGCCAGAAGAGCCGCGGATCCTTCCCGGCCCTGAGCCCTGGCTGCCCTGGCACCTCTTGCTGCCCACGCTGGCAGCCAGGCCTTGGAGAGCACAAGCTCTTATCTCCCCCCATTCCGCTGCGCGTTCCAAGGAAAAGGGGATAAGGGAGGAAACATGTTTAGACGGAGCCGTCTGCGCCGCCGGTGCTGCAGGCCGCGCTCCCGAGCCAGCCTGGCGCGACGCTGCGATTTGGGGAGAAACGAGGCACGTGGCGGCCGCTCGGAGCCAGCGTGCTGCAAACCGGGCTGCAATCACGGATCCCTTGTGCCCGCTGCGGAGCAGCGCCCGGCGGCCACGGGAGACCTGGAGCACGGGGCATGGATGTGACACAGGGCATGGAGCGGGGTGGGATGTGACATGGGGCATGGAGCAGGGCTGGGATGTGAGAAAATCCCCCATATTCTAAATAGAAGCTCGAACCTGGGAGCACGAGACCCGGCATCAGGGAGGAGTCCCTGCTGCTCAGCCACCCTAAGCCGAGCCCTTTCTCCACGGTGTTTAGCATTCCCGATAGTGGAATTTGGGCTGCAGCTAATGCCGATTAACGGTGCCGCGTTGGTTCCTTCACATAATCCTTTTCCAGCCGCGCGGGGACGAGGCTCTTGCCCTCTCCCCTTCCCAAGCCACCGGCAGTGAAAAGCTGCTCCGTTTAACCGGTCCTGCCGCGGATCAGCTCCGGAGCACGGGAATGGGCTCCTTTCCCTGCAGCCTTTGCCAGGATACCCAGGCTTCCCTCGCAGGCTGATCCAGGGCCGGGAGGCAGCGGGATGTGGGATCCCGGCGCTCCCGGGGCACTGGCAGCCGCCAGCCCAGAAATACTGCAGCTAATTCTGCACCCGCGCGTTGCTCCCCATGAGGAATGCGGGGCAGCTCCTGCTCCCTAAAATTAGAGCAGGCTGCAGACGTATCGGTAACGTTAAAAGGGGAAAGGCGCCGGTGGCCGCGATGTCATCCCAGCGCTCCGGCCCCTTCCCGCTCCGGGCGGCAGGACGAGACCGGCCGCGGCTCCAGGGCAGCCGTCGCACCCGCCGCCAAGGCCCCGTCCCAGCCCCCGGATCCGCCCGCGCTCCGTGTCCGCTGCTCCCGGGATCTGCCCAGGATGGAGGAGCTGGGACATGGAACGACACCCATCTGCAACGCGACATTTGGGAGCTGGACATTCCTCCGCTGGACGCGGATCTCCCGGGAAGGAGAAGGTCCCTGCACAGAGCAGGGAGAAGGGGAAGCCGGAGCGGCGCAGGCCGAGGTGCTGCCCGCGGTGACGGGCTGTGCAGGAGCATCACCCTGTCGAGCGGCGCAGGCCGAGGTGCGGCCGCGGTGACAGCTGTGTCGGGCCAGGTCACAGAACCTGGACCCGAAACGGCCGGAGGGAGAACAGGCTGCTCCCAGCCGCTCCCAGGCAACAATTGCTCAGCATAATGAACCAAGCAGCAGCAGGAGGCTCCCGTGCTAATTACCCCCCATAGGAAGAGGCTCCCTTGCTAATTACAACCACCCTAGGGGAGACCTCGTTACCTGCCGGGTCCACCCAAAGGTCCAGCCGCCTCCGTCGGGGCTGGGGCTGCCTCGTTCCTCCGGGCCGTGAGGGAGACGCAGCAGCTTCGGGGCAGGCGGTGGCGGAATCGAGATGTGGGGCCTGGCAGCAGCCGTGGGGACAAGTGACAGCAGAGGGGGAAGCTCCCTTTGATTCCCGGGATCGTGGCCTTGTGTCAGCCAAAACACACAAGTTCTGGCAAGAAGAGGGTCCAGGGCCCTGCAACAGGCCCAGGGCAGGAGGCAGAGCCCAAAGGGAAAGCATGGAACATGGGAACAGAACAACCTCTGCCCCTCCGAGCCATGGCAGAAAAGTGGCTGCAAAAGCAGGGGTAAACGGGGAGAAAAGGGACAGTTAGGGCAGCTCCAGCACTGACTCCAGAACAGGGCATGCGTTTTCCCATCAAGAGCCCGAGGCACGAACACAGCACTCGGGTTGTAGCCTCTAGACTCCCCTCAGTTACAGCCCCACATTCCTGTGGAGAGCAGGGGCTCTGGGCAGCCCAGGGAGCTGCGGTGTCTGCACTCACCAGCGCTGCAGGTGGAAGGAGCCGGTTCAGCCCCTGGAATCGGGTATGGGGGTCCCAACACAGGGCCCTACCCAACGGGAGGGCAGCAGCTCCCGGCAGCGCTGCGGAACGCCGGGCACAGGGCAACGCGCTCCCATCCTGCGGGAGAGGACAGCGATACCAACACAGAGCACCGCAACCACAGGCGAAATTAAAAAAGTTTATTTGAAGATCTGAAAAATAACTGTGAAACATTTCCAGGACACTAAGGTGTGGTAATGGATTTTCTTATTGTTAGAATGTAAAAAAACTCACAGTCCTTCAACTACCTAAATAAAAACATACATTTAATTTTTAATTGACCAAACATTTTACTTCCAGCACCAAGAAAGCGAATGGGTTTGAAAGTCAGACTAATGACTAGTGTCAACACCAGGTGGCCACAAGCCCCATGGTTTAACCAAGCAATCAAGCACTTCAGGTCAGCAAGCCGTAACATCAGACCAGACCCGTGAGTGCTGGAGAGTTCAGACAATGAAACAGCAAAACTGCATTTTTTTCTACATTCCATTGAGGCAAAAAAACAGTAGCAAGCGAGAAACACTGAAGACTCCCCCGGGCTCCAAGCTTCCCTTTCGGAGCAAGCAAGTCTCCAGACCTTAGAGCTGCCAGTTCCATTTCAACACACACAACTTTATTCACTTTATGTTTACACAGTTTGTGCAATAGCGACATGTGCAATAGGAGGATGAGGAGCAGGACGCGGGAGGGGACAGGTTTATTCCAAGGACTCACGGAGCAGCTGCTGGGAAGCCCCCGTGTTACACGGCTTTGCGGTGGTACTCGGGAGGCGCCACCTCGTAGTCGCTGGCGCTGAACAGAGCTGAGGAATTCTTTGCTAAATACCTACGGGAGAGACGTTAATGAAGATTAGCACTCGCTCTTGCCAAGTCTGTTGTTTAACATGCCATGACTGATTTGGCATGTAATTACCAAGATCATAAACCGGCATTTGTGGAGGACAAGTCTAACACGTTTTAGAAAGCGGCCTGCCCAAAGCAGTTCAAGAGCTGCCAGCTCGTCCCAAGGTGGATTCCAAACACTTCTGTCAAGCAAAGCTGGCTCCAAGGAGCACGGGGAGGTCAGCGGGGGAAGCAGCCTCCCCTTCCCCAGCTGCCACACCAGGACCCATCCGCTGCTGACACTGCTCACGGGGCAGGGGACGCGGGACAGCGCGGGGCTCCCTCCAGCACGGGGGAGCGTTGGGGGCTGAACGAACCGAACCGGGAGCCGAGCACCACGGGCTGCTCCTGCTGCTGCAGGGACTCGTGTCCTACCGTGTTCCTGCCCTCCTGCTGACAGCCCTTCAGCACCTGCCTCTGCACTTCGGGGGTGGCCAGAGCCCTGTGTTAGCTCGAGAGCCTCCGGGATTATTCCCAAACAGCTTGGCCCTGGAAATCAGGCTTATCCGTTCCCAACCTTCCCGAGTTAGCTGGGGGTTCTCCTTGATCTCCAATAGCTGATCCAGTCACACAGCAGAAAGATTCCATGTGTACGCTCCCACCAACGCACACTGGACCCCAAAGCAGGACGCCCATCTCCTCCGGGGCCGCAGGGCACCGGGAGGCTCCCAGGCCCTGCTCTGGGCACACACCTGGCCTAGGCAGCTTGATATGAGAATCCTAAATTACTATCTGGTATGAAAACCTCATCCAAAACCTGCAACAGGAGCATCTACAGCAAAACAGCAGCACGGCGCAGAGAACCAAAGCTACCAGCGAGTCTGCTCCAGCAGTGACTGCAGGATGCTTTAATAACTCTTAAAGAGTTAATTATTTAGCAAGTGTTGTGTTATAACCTGTTGTCAGGTTTTTAATAACCGCTACCAGCGAGCGCTTCCACATCTCCTTTGGAAGGAGCAGGTGTTGCCAGACGGGCACGTGTGTTCACAGGCCTATTGGGGTGTGTGGAAACCGGATAACCCTGGAGCACCGGAGCAAGGCTGGAACAGCCTCCCCTGGAGAGGGAGCAGGCTGCAGTGCAGCCCCAGCACAGGAAACAGCCCCTTGAGGAGCACTACTCACTTGAGGAAGTCGTGCAGGTAGTTGAGGAGCAGGGCCAGGCTCTTCTCGTCCAGCGGCGTGTAGGCCAGCATGGCTCCGATGCGCACTGCAGGGCGAGCGGCAGCGGCTGCAGCGGGACGGCCGGGCAGGGAGCGCGGCCAGCCCGGCCTCGCGCCGCGGCGGGCGCGACGCCAGCGCGGGGACACCAACATGCAACCAGTTAAACGGGGAAGGTGGATTTTTTTTTTTTTTTCCTCCCCCCTCAGATTTCTGCAGTTCAGACATCCTGAGATGATACAGGGAAAGCAGCACTTCAGTATCATCAACTGCTGCCCCTCAGTTCATAGATACACTCACCAAACAGCCTCAGTAGATGCGGGGCACCATAAACTTGAGACATTGGAGCATCTGGGTGGTCTGCCAGGATTTCAGCGTACTGGGGCCTCTCGAATTTGTAGAGCAGCTGAGTGCCCAGCATTACATTGAAGTATTCCTTGATTCCAGCCACGACTTCATTGACAGCATACTCCCTGGGAAACACAAACGCTTCAGCCTTCTTCTAACGATGGGGCAGACAAGATTAGAGCTTGGTTTTCAGTCTCTCCAAATCATAAAGCTCTCAGGACTTTGGAAATAAAGTTCTTAGGAGGCCTTAAGACATACAGCTGTAGGGAATGCAGGGAGGATGCACGTCAAGACCTCCCTTCAAAATGAGCAGCTCAACTCAGCGGGAACTTCCACGAAGCAAAAGCTCCTTGGCTGTACTCCTTTCGCTTAAAGAAATTAGCCCAACTCCGACAGCAGTCTATCCAAAACAGCAGCAAATAAGTACTGGCAAGGAAACCAGCACTGTTTTCACCAGAGTTGATCCCAACACCAGTTAGTGTAGTATTTCTTTATGCAATCAGACTGATCCTCTGCTTAATGGGAAGAGGGAGCTTCCAGGTGTTTTGGAAAATTGACCCTTTTAACTGGCTGAATTCCAGCTGCCGCAGGGCTCCAGCTCCACATCTCACTGAGCACAACTGGAACGTTTCACTTATGGGAGCGTTGTGTTCCTTGTCAGGGCTTGGCCCCGGGATAACGGCAAATGGGAATCCTGGAAGCTCCCACCTCCCAACAGGCCCCTTGTCTTCCTCCTGCGCCAGGTCCAGCCGCCTGGTCCCGCTCCTGCCGCACTGCCCAGTGCCACCCGCAGGGTCCCCAACACGGGGCCACCGGCCAGGCTGTCCCAGGACACTTTGCTCCGCGCGTGCCTGGCACTGACCTCATGCAACAAAGTGATGGAAGAGAATCCACTTGGCTTCCACCAGTTTTCTTTACAGGAAAGGTTTGAGGGGCGGGGGGGAAAAAAAGGAAGTGATAAATGCAGTTTTGCTCTCTGGAATTTACAAACCAGCTCCCCAGACTTGAAGATCAAAGGAGTTCACACTAAGCTGGACAGAGTTTGAATTTAACAAGTAAACTTGTTAAGTCTTCTGTGAAACATAAGTAAAATATTTAAGGTTTGAAATAATTACTACTTACTTGTTATCGGTGTTTCCTCGCGATTTCTTGTAGCTAGCATAATCCTCTAAAATGGAGTCAACGTTCTTCTTGGCAGGAAGATAAAAGAGCTATGAAAGAAGTAAAGTTGAGCAAATACCAACTGCCTAGTTTGCACAGACACTTCTATTTGCATGTTAACTTTGCCCCAAAATAAGGGCGTTTTTAGAACAGAGTTCAGGTGTTCAGTGTTACTAAAGGAACACCTAACTGCTTTATTAGGAACTGAAGGGCGGCAGGCTGAAGGCACGCTGTTCCCAAGCGTGATCCCCTCCTTGGATCAGCCCAGCCAGCTCCCACACTGCAGGGCACGGAGACTTCCTTGGTATCCGAGCAGCAGCCCCCAGCTCCCGGTGCAGCCTCCTTGCACCAGGGCCTTTCAGCCCAAAGGCACTCAGAAAATAACCAGCTTCCTAGCACTGGAATGACTTTCACACATATTAGCGATAATTACTTTGACTGCACATGCAATTCTCTAATTTGTACTCATCAAGAGATCAGCCCTACCCACAGGGGCTGGCAAACAAGGAGTTCTCACTTGGGACAATGAGAATGCAGGCAGACCCCAGGGGGGCAGCCAGCGCATGCGACTGCAGCCTACCAAGCAGCTTCCAAAACTGCTGTTACTCTGTATTCTTCTAGCCAGTTTTAATAATTGGTTTCACACGTGCAATAAGTCAAGATTCTTTAACAAGTCTTAAGGCAGTAAATATATATCTTTCTTTTAAAATTAAAAAAAGTTTAATTTCAGTGAAGTTAGCAGATTAAACTTGCATTGATCCAAGCTGGTGGAAGAATTAAAAATCACTGCCCTAAGATGCAGCTGATTGTCAGGGTGTAGTACACCTTCAGATCCTTTACATCCCACTCACTGTCACGTTCTTAGCAAAGTTTCAGGGCAGGACAATGTGACCCACAGGGGATGCTCCATTCACCAGTCCTCTACCAGCTGAGGAAACTGTTTGAAACATTACCAGCCCAAACAAGCTTGGGGTAACGCCACAGTTAGCAGCCAGTCAGGCTGGGAGTTAACTGAAGCTTTAACTTATGCCTGATTAGACTAAACCGGGCGCAGGAATTCCTTGCACAAGTCTACGTGCAGTTCTGAACCAGCCCTGCTCCCAAGGGCCTGCTGGTAGGAATGCAGGGACAACCAGGGCCGGGTCCCTCCAGCCCCTGGACTCCAGGAGCGCGTCAGCTCTACAGGACAGCTTGCTCTGCTGCACTTAGATATATGAAGTTCCAGTTTCACTCTTCTTCCCTACGTAATGCTCGAGGGCTCTGCTTGCTTTCTAAACGAAGGCAGAAAACAAACAAACAAAATACCTGCTTTTGCCTGGTGATCAAGTCCCAGTCATCTACAAGCCATGGTTTGAGCTCTTCTGGAATTTTCACCTTTACTTCAACCCTGTTCATAAATGTTTCTTCCTGAAAAACAGAGTAAAATCAGACTAATTACTTTCAGGTAATTGCCCATAGAGTCACCATATGCCTTCCTTCCACAACTGAAACACACCAGTGAACTGAGTAGAGTAATTCCTGTTGGCTCCACAAGGAAATGGGGATATAGGTTAAACTTTCCAAGGCCACTTGGGAAGTGTAGTTTTGTGAACACATTCCACACTGTCCTGCTGCAGGACAACAGTGATGCAGTCCTGACACAGTCAAACACTTACGCTTTCAACTGTTGGATCTACTCGAGCCCTCTTCTTCCTCGGAGGCTGAGGAGTCTCACTGGTGCTGCTCCCTTCTCCAATCCCAGGAGCTGGATACAAAGCAAACATCATACAACATAAGAAATACGGTAAATCAGGAAAAATCATTAGTAAAGATAGAGATTTAGAGGTAAGATTCAGGGTTCTCGGATGGTGTTTTTTGTTTGCTTTTCAATAAATGTTATTACATGTCTTCTGGAAGTCTCACACATTTGTGACAGCTTAAGCAGATATTTACATTTATCCAAAGACTTGTTTTTCCACTAAGAAGTGGGTATACGTTACATATTTGCTTTTCAGAAGCAGCAAGTCAGCCTCATAGTAATGTCACACCTCCTTCTCAATAAGGAGAGCATAAGTTTGACTAATAAATTTAACAGATTTGAACAGAGATGCTGCTTGGCTTTCAGTTCACAAGAGGCCAAAATCTGCAGCTGCAACAAATATTTTGCATACAAACCAGAAAGAAGAGACACTTGAGGACCAAAAGGGACACAAGGTGACAGCAAACTTAGCTGAGGCAGATTTAAGGTCTTGCCTCAATTACGAATAATTCACTAAAGATATCCACTTTTATATACAGAATAGATGTACTTACTTTTCTGTTTGTTCTTTTTTGTTTTCCTGCAAGAAGAACACAAGTTATTGCAAAGAGCAAAGATAGTAATATTCAGAAAGCTGAAAGTAGAGATACAAGTTGTCCCATAAGTTTATAGCAACACTCAAGAGTGGCCTCTGGAATATTTAGATAATCACAACTGAAGCTGAAGGGCCAGAGATGATCTGTCAGCTCAGCTACAACACCTCCAAAATTTCCATGTAATATGGTAACATTCACCAGTCTGGGGGATTCAGTAAACTCGGCATGAATAATTAAACCTACAGAAACCCAAGAGATGACACGTCAAACACATCAGTATTTAGTAACAGCACTGGCTGCCACTCTGCAAGGAAAGGCTGCAGATGCTTTTCAAGCTTTTCAAGGGCTCTTGGAAGCTGCACTGGATTTGGAGGTGGTTTATTTCAGTATTTCAAGGACTGCTTGAAGGCAGAATATGGCACAAGGAAACAAAGGGGAATGATCAGTCAGTGGGTCTGACAACTGAAATAACTTGCACTGCAACACTGGAGCATAAGGTTTTATGACTGCAGGAGCAGATGATGATTTAAATGCTACTGTAAGAGGTATGAAGTTGCATGAGCTAGTTCTGTGATTGCACTGGAAGTGTTCAGAGATCACATCACACCTAACTGCTGCCTGTTAAGAACAGCACCAGTCACTACTATTCCAAGTGTTTCTCTTCCAAATGGTGTTCTCTAAACACATAATACCCCTAATTTCCATACTTCCTCAGGCTGCTTTAAATTCACTATCCCCACCCCTTATTTTTATTCCAAATGAAAAGGTACTCCAAGACACTGACTTCAAAAACTTCGGAGACACCTAAATACAATTCACAGTGTGTAAAAATATAGGACAAGAGTGGGAGACAATATAAAGCCCTAATGGATGATTTTGTTAGGTTATTATCTGAACTTTGTATATTTACTGATCAATATTAATTTTAATTTTCTGAAGAGTATTATCAGTCATGTTTTACTTGCTCACCATGAGCAGAATCCAGTTAAACCTCTCAAAGATTTTCCAGTGTGTCGCATTCCTTATGAAGACAATGCACGTGTTTCCAGATTGCAGGTGTGAGATGTTTTTTAATCAGTACAAGATTATTCCTTGGAATGTCCCCACTCCGTGCGATGACACACTGAGCCTTGAAGGGGCTTTAGCCGAGCCGGAGGTGTGCACAGCTTGCAGGAAGCTCTGGGGAGCAGCAGGGCAGTGCCAGCTGCCAGCACAAAGCAGCGCCAGGCCAAGAGCGAGCAGGGGACGATCCCCTCCAGGAAGAGGGGACAACTGCCGGGTCAGGGCCCTGATAACCAAGAGTGCCTTCTTCCAAACCTACAGCAAACTGGTAGGAACAGGGTGTTCTTTTCAGGATTAAAATGACAGGATAAAAACAACAGCAGAGTCCTAGAAAGCTGGAACAGAAAGACGATATGAAGTACTTCAAGACCTGCTTCAGTTAGCTCAGTAAAACACATCTTCGTGGAACTGAAGTACAGGGCATAAACCCTTCTGGACAGTTGCTTGTGCTCTGCCACCCCATCCTTCACATTTCAAAGGACATCCCTCTGCTTCAAGCCAAAGCAGCCACCAGTTTGCAACGTTTAAATGATAACCTGAGTTAGGGAGCAGAGGCAGAGCTCAGTCAGCAGGTTTTAGGGGCAGCCCGTGCAGCAGACTGCCCCAGGCGAGAGCAGCAGGACGCAGCCCTCCCTTCCTACAAGGTAGCAGACCCAGCCGCTCGCTTCGTCTCTGCATTTCCCTCTGGCTGGTGCTTTTCACTGGCAAGCAATAGATAAACAGAAGGATAATGTGAGTTTCCAGGAAGCTCCTGTGCAAGAGCTTTTGTTAAGCCTCAAGGCACCAGGGGTCCCAGGGCTCAGCGCTGCCTCCCTGACGAGCAGCGGGAACAGGACTGGGGCCATTCCCTGCAGGCAGCTGCTTGAGCACCACGAGGACAGGCAGCTGCACCAGGGACACGAGACAACATGTGACACTGAATCAGAAAGCCAAAAACACACAGTAAGCTCCCAAAATCTGCAAAAAGATGATAATCAATAAGGAAAACACAAGAGTATGGCTTACAGAATAGCTTGCTACAGTGAAATGCTATGCAGAGGTGACAAATCCAGATGGACAGTCCATGCCACAGGAATGCAATCCTGGGCTTCCAGAGCCTATCTCCAAACCAGAGCTGGGCTCAGGAGTAAGTAGTTAAGTGAGGGGATGCCCCAGCAAGAGACATTCTGCAAGACAGCACTCAGCCTTTCCACAGGCATCCAGCAGAAGAAAGATATTCCAGTAACTAAAAAAAACCTTACACTTTGTGGGTGTGGGATGGAATGCTGGCTCAAGAAAACTTAAAAAAAAAAAAAAAAAAAAAAAACACACACAAGAGAATTAATAGCAATTCTGCTTAGGGTTCTAAACCACAGGGTCTTGTGAGACACAGCTAAAAAACTGCCAGTAGAAAATAAAAATCACTTAAATAGAACTAGACACAGACAAGGATGACATCATGACTTCAGAAGGCTTCCTTATTCCACAGGAGCTGGAAATCCCTGACATGAAGATAAAAAGCAGAGAACAAGTGTTTGACTTACCCAAACTCCAAGCATCTTTTTAGGGAACATAGAAGTTAACAAGAATCTCCCTACGATACAAGGGGTTAAGACAGAAGCAGCACAGTGAAGGTGGTGCCACTTGTATTGCAGGCGGTTGAGCTCAGTATATTCTTAAGTGCAAGAAAAAAGGGAAATTAGCGAGATGCCAGTTTACTCACAATATAACAAGAGAGTCATACCTAAGATGTATGGGATTAAAGTCTGTCCTCATACTTGGTGGCTAGTTAAAAAACACCAATGAAAAACATAAGCTAAAAGAGCCTTAAATCAGCCACTACTGCTCAAACAGCTTAGTCATTAAGTCCATTAGGAGTAGAAAGCATTCCTACCAAAATACAAATAAGACATTATTAGCAAAAGGATAAAGACAAGAGTAAGTGGAGATTATATAAACATAGCTCTCATGCACAGCCAGGCTGCCTGCCCTTAAAGGACAGTCAATAAAATTAGGAGGTAAAGGAACAAGAATAGTTAGTAGGGCAGGGACAGCTTCTATACGAGGAGCAGCCACGAGACAAGGGCTTGTTCTCAACAAGGGCTCTAGCAGCAAGGAGGAGAGAACGTGCGAGGGGTTTCACTGGAGATAGAGTGCATCAAAAGGACTCGTATCCTCAGAGCAGCGATCAGAAACAGACGAGAGAAAAAGCAACAGACATTAGGACTGGAAACGTCATCCTGTTGCCTCTCTCCTCACCACAGTCCTGAACTCGAATCAGGAACCCAGGGCCACAGAACATTGTGGTTGCCAGGAGTTCAAATGGTTCAGAAGTTACCAGACAAAGTACCGTAAGTCAGACCTCTCCAACCCACCACGAGGCTGCACCTGCAGCTCTGATGCCCCTTAATGCAGGCTGCTGGAAGCAGAGAGGTTATACTGCAAGAAAAGCCTTTAGACTTGCCTCATCTGACTGTCACCTTTAAGCACGTGTTACTGGTCACCATCAGACAGCAAAACAGGTTGGGAACCTGTGGCCAGAGCCATTCCGGAGCTCTCAGGGTTCTAGACAACTGGCATGCAGGCAGGGCTCATTCTGCTTGACATTTGGGGACTACATGGCTGAGAGACCGACTGGCTGCGTCAGAGATAGCAGATGCCACGGGAAACACGTAGCAGGAGCACAGGCTTCTCAGTGGTATGTCCAGATTAAGAACAAGCCTGTTGGAAGGACTTTAGCTCCTATGTTCAAGTCAGCAGTAGTTGTTTTGGTAACATCTCTGATGAGATAGCTTGCAAATGTATCGTTAAAAGGGAGAAAAACACTGACATTCTCAAATTCATTATCCAGCACTCAGTCTTATCTCAGCACTTATCTGCACTCAGTCATAGTACAGCTTGTCCTTCGTATGCTCCAAACATTGACTTGCTCTTGTTATTTACTGATATATACATATATATTTATTAATCATATGAGACCTGCCAAAGATAGCACCAATTCTTAGAGGCCGGAATTCACATGTATGGCAGAAAACAATCTGGAAAAAACAGTATCTGCAGTGTTATATTTAATATTTGGAAAACTGCTATAAACAAATTTTCTATGACATTTTCTAAATATTGTAAGATGAATAATTAACCTCAAAACATATATAACCTGTTTCATGCATTTTTCTATTTGATTAAACATTGCTTATGAATAGCATTAAAGGCATTTTAGACACAGACTCAATACACTGCTTTGGTAACCCACAGCAAGGCAATGGTGAAAACACAGTATATTAACACATAAGATCAATCCTTATATTTTAAAACCATGTACCATAGAAGCCTACCTCCAAACTCGGGGAACACAGTGCAGTGTTACTGATTTCAGAGAAGTAGAGCTCGACACTACAGCAGGCATCAGACCAACTGTAATCTTCTAGAACTATCCAGTTTCAAAAGTCTGAAGTCAGTTGTTCTCCACTTCTTTTTAAAGAGTGGACATACACTGAATGCATTTGACTTCTTATACCATGTTCTTTCCCAAATAAAAATGTATGCACGTCAGAGAGACTAAGAAGTGCTAGTCCAGACTGGCTTTAAAGAAAATAAGAAAGAAAAAGAATATCTGCAGTGCCAAGAGTTGTTACCTGCATTGCTACCAAAGGTTACATCATCACAACTAAAGCTTTAAGAGCATCCCAAAGAAATCTACAAAAGCAAGGAGGTCTGGATTTCAGGATGGAAATCCTGGTTTGACAATCCATCCTTAACTCACCGTGTCGATATTGTAGGGGTCTCCAAACAGCAAACAGTATGCGCTCCATCTCGTCTGAAAAATCTAGGCACAATGGGGGTTAAGGAGAGAATGTCAGACCTAGTGCTTAGCCTTTAAGAGACTCTATTTAAGGTTCAAAAATTTACCTTTTAGCAACATATTACAGCCTTAATGAACATTCCTGGAGGATAAGTGGTGCTTACATTGTTATCTGCTTCCCCTTATTGTTTGTCTGTTTGAGGAAAAGGCTTCAAAAAGTAAGTTATCTTCCCTTTGTAAATCCTCCAAGAATGCTACAAAAGGTAAATTTTGAGGCCCAAATAGGTTGACGGTGCTACCCTTTAGGAGGGCTGCTCCATCAATCTCTCCCCCTCCCCACCAACCACACATTGTGCACTGTAAGTAGCAGCTGAGGTTTACAACAGAACAACCCAGCAGTCTTGGTTCAGAACCGCATTGCGAGATGTTCACTTTTCACAAGGCATCTTGTGAGAAGGGTGTGAGAAGCAGGAGGCCAGGCAATACATCAGCCTCCTACAGCCCTGCATGGCTGCTGGGGCTGCTACATCAGAGTATTTCCTCACCCTCGCCTCCAAGTAAGGGAGAACAGGGATACTTTGCTGGAGGGAGCACAGCTCTAATTTAGAGGGATGCATCAGCTACTGGCAATGGCCAGAGACTAGGAGCAAGATCAGTGCAACATGCATGTAGGACCTGCTCTAGATGGCTTTCATAATGCAATAATACTATTCGAGAAACAATATTATTTCCTCTTCCCATTTACTGCTCTAATAATCCATCATCAAAGAATTAATTTTTCCAATCAGTGTGAAACAGAAGTTTGAGAGTTAGTTTATTACCTAACCTGCTAGGCTGGAAATGATCCCCCATGCTCACAGCAGTGATAACAGCAAAAAGCTAAGCCAGCCCCTTGCCCCGGGGGTTTCACCCAGAGAGTGCAGACAGACCTGGTAACATGCTCACAAGTTTATGGTTAAACAGAGGCTACGGTGAAGTGGTTTTTGCTGTGTGAATCTACCTTGGGTGCACACTCAGGCGTGGTTCAGGGAATTAAGCGGATTTTGAATTTTGCTGCTTTTGCAGCACAAGTTAACCTGCAGCAGCCACTCTGCTGGAAAGAGCAAAACTCATCCCACTGCACTCAGCTTGAACTACCAGGACGACCAAAGTCATCTTGGAGTATTTGCAGCTTAGGCCCAAAGTTACTCTTGGGATGCTCACAATAGTCACAAAAACACGAGCATTTACAGTCGAGTCACAAGAACCTGTGTCAAGATTACACGTGAAATTAATTCTACGGACTAAAATGCAAGGAGAATCAGGCACAGCCTGATCAGCCCCTTAAGCAGCACCATTAGTAACGATCATGACTTAAATCTGTTTGAGGGGGATTTTAACGATATTCTTTAGGAACTAAGGAGGTTTTTCCCCCTTGAATGAGGGCAAAGGGTGTCAGGATGTCCGTGGAGGCCGTCAGCCCACCCCACACCAGCGTGCTCAGGGCACACAGCGCTGCCCTCTGCACGTGGCAGTATCACCAGATCTGTCTCACTCCCCAGGCCAAAGACCAACAGGCAATTTACAACCTAGAGGAGGCTTTGAGCAAGTCCAAAGGGAAATCTGCAGTCAGGTCACGGGATCTAGAGCAAAAAAGCAGCTTCACTCACTGCCATTACCCTCTTCAAATCACTGACTCATTTTGTCACAGAATTTGCCCATAAATGAGGCATAAATTTTGACGCTGCAGCCAAATGCCTCTTGTTATGAAGTGGTATCAATTCAGCCGCTTCCTCATGAACACCAGAATTATATGGAGAGTTGGGAGTTCAAAGCATCCAAAATATCACATTAGTAATGAACACCTTCATAATGAAATAAATTAAGCATTTTCCCCAGAAACAAAAACGTTTCATAGCACATTGAGCAAAGCAGTGTAGCTCTACTGACGTATGAGGCTAAGCACAGGCCAAACAAGCTCTTCTGAAAACAAAAGGATGGAACGGAGGAAATGGGACAGTTACTGTTTTGGATAAAGAGACCAAAAGGTTTTTTGGGTAGATGTCTGAGCTTGTTTCTGGTCTCTTAAGATGCAAAAAGCTTTTTACAGCATATGGTTTTAGTTTTAATAGAAACAGCCAAATATCCAAGATTGCTTAAGTGTAGTTTTAACAGCTACAGAGTAGGAGGGCAAGTCATTTTAAAGATTTCCCCCCGCAAATGCTCATGTAGTTTGGGACAGTTCTAGCTTTTGGTACAAAACTGAGCTCACCAAGATGCACAAGTCTTGAGAGAACTAACCACAACTGCATGTCAGTTCACTGATTTAAGAGGAATAACACACAGTGAAAAAGAATTGTGAGTTTTAAGTGCCTTCCCGCTCAGTGACTTAATTCCGTATTAAACACAGTACAATCTAGAGAAGGCTGTGCTATTATAAGAAAATTACTATTTACAGTTCAAGAGTAAAATTGACAATATATATTTTGTAATTTAAATAAAAAGTTTCTTACACTTCAACATTTTTCTGCTGCAGACCAGATGTCTTCTTGCCTGGAGCAGCACCTCTCATCTTCCCCTCTGCATATTGTTCCCTTTAAAAAATAAAATTGTCAATAAGACTTCAATGAAAAGAAAAGCATGCTTTTCTGAGAAGGTAACAGATTATGCAAAACATTTGGAGAACCATCAATAAATGGTTTTAGAAACACAGCCAAAGATGACAGCATTGGTCACAGGCAGGAGAAAACTCAGCTCAATACAGGAAAGACTTATGCTTCTTCATATAAAAACACAGCAGTATAAATACTCATTTTTTCCTTCCCACCATCTTTATTATTCTGAATCATCAGGAAGCAGCACACTGACTGCTTCAGAAAAACATAAAACGTATTCCAGCTGAAGGAATATGTTTTATCTCCCCTCCCACCCACCTCCAGGAGCATTCATAGGGATCAGAGCAGCCTCCTGACAGTGTCTGAACAGATCCCTGCTACCTGCACACTGCATCCCATAACCAGCCAGGCTGCCTCCCAGCTCCAGCCACCCACTGCTCCACAGCACCCGAAGTTGCTGCTTTAATAAACACCGAGCTGCTACTTATTTTCAACAAGCAAACCTCCTGAACACTTGTTTTAAACTGCCCGACTTCCCTTAATAATATAGTTACTGGACTGAAGCTCTGCAGACAAAAAGATGACTTCACTAACAAGGACTTAAAAAAACAAAAAACCCAACTTACTGATTGGCCTTTTGAAGTTCTTTTTGTTTCTGCAAATTGGTATCCACGTATTTGAGCACTCTGCTTTCTGGAACCCATTCATCCCAGCTGAAAAATCAAATAATCATTCAAAAACACTACATAATTGGACTCTGTTCCCAACAGTCAATTAAAAGCTTCACAGAATTTCAGACTGAACTCTGCTTTTGTGACAAGTTATGGATTGGCACAATTGAAAGTAGTAAATTATTAAATGCATTCCCTGCTGACTGAAGATGTAGCAGTTTTTCTAAGGAATATAACCCTCAGCCATTTCTAAAGACTTTCCCAAACATGAAGGATGGGTAATTCGGGAGGGGATTGTCTTTAATTTAAAAACATCTCAAAAAAAATAAAAAACTACACTTACTAAAATCATAAGACAGCTGTAGCCATAGCTATATTATGAAGCAAGTTTCCTTTATCTATTGCAACATTTTATAGGTTAACAAATTCAGCAATAAGATCTTACTGTAAGAAGAGCTCTGATTTCTGTCTGTGAAGGAAACCAATATGGCATGAATATTTAAAGAATATGAAGTGAACGATTTAAGAGAAGAGGTGTTGGGGAAATTGCCATTATGAGCAAGAATTCCACTTTGACAAATAGTGGATAATCACTGTGCAATTTGACAAATTATTTCAAATAAATAAAAAATACATTGAAAGTGGCCAAGAAGAGTGTACAAGCTAACACCCCACATATGAAAAGTTCCATTACGTTTTTATTTCATGGCAAGAACTGCCAGTCTCAGAACACCAGCATGGCAAGAAGGACTTCAGGAGCACAAGGTCTTTGAGATGCAGACACAGCAAACAGCATCCCAGGGTCACAGGAAAACACACCCAGCTGTACATGTTCTAAAGCTACAGTTCGGGGCAGTGGTTTGCTTACTCCTGTAATACAGCTGTGGGACACCAGAGAAAAAAAAATATAGTACAACTGTGCTGCACGATAGTGTAGGGAATGGTGAAGAAACTTTTTTTGGTATCCTAACTGTTGATACTGGAGGAAAAAGAAAAAAATAGAAGTATTTAACAAGTGCAAAAGGACTGCAATTGTAGAAACCCAAATTAAAGGGATATACAGTCCCAGCTGTCCAAACCTTGCAGCAATGCCACTTTTAATGCAGTCAATCAGAAGCTTGTGGGGAAAGGGGAAAAGAAAAGAAAAAGGCACAAAACAGTGCAAGGAATAAAAGGAGTCACAATATTGCATAGGGCACCTCCACCACTGGAGAGGAACAGGAAGGTGAAGCATCAAATTGATGCTGCCCCTTCAATACCCAGCAGCCAGATCAGGAATCAGTGACGCTCTCTGCAGCTTGCTGCATTTGGATAAGGCACTTATCTGCTCATTTTGTAGGTGATATGTCTTAAAAAATATATTAGGTAACAAAACAGGAAGTTCAGCTTTTAGTCAAATCAGGGAGATGACGATATCAGTCCTCACTCAAGAGGATGCAGCGCTGGGATGAAAGAAAATTCAGAAAAACTCCAAGTCTCTTTCAGATAAGATTTGAAGAGATGAAGTTTTTAATCACTACAGGGGGGGGGGGGGCGCGCCCAAAATTCATAAGCCAGTTACACAATAAAAGTCAAATGAGAAAAAAATATCAGCTATGCAAATGTGATACTGCTGTATTTTTGTAGAAGGGAAAAACCTCTAGTTTTAGTTTAGTACAAGAAGCAATAACTGAAATATGGGCTAACCCTGCTCATGTGAGGGGTTAAAAGAGATGGGCTCTCCCACCGAGCGCAGCATCCACGAAGGCAGGCTGCCCCACAGCTCCATACCACCTTTGGCAGCCAAGTTTGGCTACAAGAGGGAGGGACACCACTCTGAGTGGCAAACAGCTTTGCTTCACTTCAGCAGGGATGGCATCTTCTACCAACACATAAGGAAATATCTGTACTAAATACTTCTGGAAGAAAGAAATTATAGCAGCTATTTCCAAACAGAATTAGAGAGCACTACACGTAAAGTGTTTGGTTAGACAACTGACACCTTAAACTAGCTGGTTGGTACCACCAAAGTTCCGAAGGAAACAGTTAAGCAATGTATTTACTCTGTTATTACAGATCACTGGCTTCAGCATGAAAATCACTGAAGTGAATTTCAGAACTAATCTTCTAGTGGCACACAGCTGGGAGTGCTAATCCATTAAGACAGCTGACAGTCTGAAAAGAAAAGTGAAGTACTGCCTTCATTTTATGTAATACTTACTTTTTATTCCAACCACTGTAATGGATAAAGTATTTCACTTGTTTGTCCTTTATGGCAACCTTTACACACTGGAACAGAGGAAAAAGCTCAGTCACTATCAACGAGAACAAGATTTCTGAGCAATTTTTGAGCTTTCAGAGTCTAAACAGGCAGATTTCCAGGCAAGCCATCCAAATACTGGGCAACAACCCCCAGGCAGAAAGTTCTCCAGCATCCCCTTCTCCTTTGCACAGGGGTGGAAGGGCCAGGCACACTGGCCATACACAGGGAGACCTTCTTCCATAGGAGGGATGAGAAGCCCCCGGGGTGACCAGAGGAAGAGCAAGGAGGCACTTAACTGCCCCAAGCCATTCCCTGGAGAGCTTGTCCACGTGCAGCTCCTACCCCACAGGCAGCTCGCCTGCCTGAAGGGCAGGAGCCTTCGAAAGGAAGGCAAGGAGCACGGGTTCCTATACCCCCAGAGAGCAGCAAGGAGCACGGGTTCCTATACCCCCAGAGAGCAGCAAGGAACACGGGTTCCTATACCCCCAGAGAGCACAGTACATTCACTCGGAAAAGCTGCACTAAGGGCTCTCTCTAGGCCAGGGAGGCGTACAGGAGGAAAATGAGAGGTATTTCTATGAGAACTGTCCTGCAAAGGCAGTACTTCCCCATAGGGACATTAAGGCACATGAAACCGTGCACGACACGGGTGAGCTGCAGCAGGGACCCTTCCAGAAACTCTTACACTTTAGCACAGCCCACACGGTAGCCTCCAAGATGCCCTCAGCTGCCGTGTGAGGAAGATGCTCAGGGCCCTGCTGCCCAGGCAGCAGCACAAGCCCTGCACCTGCAGGCAGCCCGGCAGGTAAATGCTCCACTACTACATCTACACGAAAACCACGGCTAGAGACGTGGCTCTCCTGCAAGGCCACAGCCCACAACGGGGCTTGGATAACCCTAACTAGTTCATCTTCATGACTGCTGCTCAATAACAACTTCCTGAACTTCTGAACTGCACGAAATTAAATCCATCCTCCTGGTCTTGGATAAGGTACCTCCCTGGAAACCCATCAAGCCTTGTTCTGGAGACCTTGGGACAGAGATGCCGCTCCTGGCTACCATCTGACAGCATTCTCCAGTTTATTACTTCCACTGTTAGAAACATGAAGAACCACCCTCCCTGGCTTCAGTTTCTAATCCCTGATTATTCTTAAGGCTCTCACCAAAAATCAAGAACAATTCACAGAAGTACTGTCATTTTCTTGCCATGCTACCTGAGTCACCTCTAGGTATATCTGAGATGCCAGAATCTTCCTCAAATAGAGCCTGGTCTCACCTAAACTTGCAACGAGGATCAAAGACCTCTTAATTCTGCAACTCATTTTGCCTAGTTCACTGTAATCCTGGAGTTATCCAGTCCAAGTGACAGACTATGCACTTAAGTCACTACCTACTCTACTTTTTTCTGATCATATTCCTGTAGCAAGTCACACCTATGACCATAAAGACCAAAATATGTTGGTTACATATCAAGAACCACAGAAAAAGAACAGATCAAAGCAATAAAGCCAAGGATGTTATTACTACAACCTATAGAATAACTTAATAAAATTTAAATGCGATCCTTTCAGCCACTTCGGAAGCCCAGAACAGTCTGTGTTCTCTACATAAAGACAGCCCAAAGCCCCTTTGCTGCTCAAAATCCTTTCTGGCATTAAGCTGGCAGACCCAGCTCCAACATTTGGCCCACCTGTGTATAACAGGGAGAGGGGGCAAATCCCAACATAGCACATGGCTCTAGCAGCTCCTGGGCTGCTCTGCTCAGCCAAAGAGGCTGGACTGCTGCTATCCAGGGCTGCCTTTCATGGAGAAAAGTCTCCTGCCGTCCCAGCACCAACGGCCAGACACAGACAGCACAAGGTGCCAGTCCCAACACACACGTGCAGCCAACTTGCCCTCTAGTGCTACAGCAAGGGAAAGAACAGGCTTGAATTATTAGAACAGAAATAGGCTTGTTTGGTGGAAACAGCCAGTGAAAGGGGGAGCTAAATCTTCAGGAAAAGAAATGGCACTGCAGCGATATCTGACTAAAGCCCATAGAGGAGGAAAAAAGCACATAACTGACAGCGTGACAGAGGTCTGCAGGTAATGCAGCAAGAAAGCTTCTCCAAGTCACAAATATGCAACACATCATTATTTCTCAGGTGAGAGTCAGAACCACACTATTTACTTAGTAGGCAGTGGTTAAATCCAGCATTAACTTCTACAGTTTTGTCCCTTTCAAAGGCCACTGGTTCTACTCAGCCCTCTACATATGTGAGAAGCCCAAACTACACTTAACTTAGTAGTTCCTGCATTAGCAGCAGCACCTGGTCTTAGAGCCCTGAACACTCTCCAGCGTTCTGGGAAGCCAGGAGTATTACAGATGCTCAACACAAACTTCAGTGGTTTACCAGAATAGCTGTGCAGTATCATTTTAAAAAAAAAAACTCTTCTGTAGAAAGCGAGGAACTACAGGGCTTAAAAACACTGCAAATCGTCATCAGGTTTTCCGGCATTTTAACTTCAATACTTAATCCTGTCTAGGCAAGGCACAGCAAATAAACAAATACAATCCTTCACTTTCTTGAGGAACAGTCAGTACCTTCTGGAGCAACAATCAGCCACACGTACCTTTGCTTCATAAAGGAGAGGTCCATGAAAACAAAGCACTCGTTCACCTGCAAGAGAGTAGCAGACATCCATCTCAGAACACCCCCAGCGTGTCCCTTCGGAAACGCTGCACTGGGAGACACAGGATGCCTAACCCCGTGGAAGCGTACAACAAAGGCAACGCCAACGGAAAACAAAGGCTGATTTCAGGAGCAGGTTGGTGTTTTGGAAGTTTGATGTAATGTTTAAAAAATGCATAAATAAAAGCTCTGGTTGTTTAGGCCATGAAGCAAATATCCCTAAGCAGTTCTGTGCTGAGCACTCGCTGAAGACACCTGGCACAAACTGCCTATTCCTGCCCGTGCTCCTGGCCTCTGCCAAGCGGAGGCACAGAGGTCTCTGCACCCCATTTCAAGGCTGGCACAGATAACTCCTTTGCAGCTGTGGAACCAAAGCACACAGCCTCTGCACAAATGGATATTCCAGCCTCTGTGAGGCCTCCTTTAGCCATTTACTGAGACTAAGGAATTCCCAAGTCTCCGAAACTTTGATTCAGAGCAGGAAATTGGTTCCCAACAGGAGATGTGACCTCTGTATCACAAGCTTCTGACATAAATGGAAGCAACTCTGCGATGAGCACTCCTTTCCTTGGAAGAAGTCCAGTAGCTGGTGTTCCAAATACAGTGAGGTTGGAGAAAAGGCCATTATTTCCCCTGGCCGCTGCAGGGCCAGAGGAGGGCCTGGCTCGTGCCATGGCGCAGGAGTTGTTCACATTGCTGAAGCAGGAAGAGATGATTCCTCAGACCGAGTCTCTCCAACAGCCAGAGGGTCTCGTGCGCTGACACCGGGGAAGCTGGCTTTACTTCACACAGGATATCAGAGCACAGATGTTTCCTCCCAGAAGCTGCTGCCCCCCATTTCAGACAGGCACGCTGCGTATTTACCGCACTCCCGAGCGTGGCACACATCCAGGCTTTGCCATCATTCCCAGGACGCGCAGGGCGGAACAGCAGTGTCACTGTTAGCAGTGCAAGCCCACGCCGACACTCACACCCCAAACAGGGGAGAAGGAGGCAGCATCACCACTTACCGAGAATCCCAGAGGCCTTTTTCCTTGGGAGTTGCTCAGGAATGACCGTGGTAGGTCACAATCACCGTGTGGCCTTACCAGCCTAACACCCAAGGCTACAAGGGTTCTCTATGGTAAATTCTGTGTTCCCCGATGCCTATTTCTGCATATTCAAGTGAAAACACAGCCAGCAGCATGCAGTATCCCTCAACCAAGACCACTAACTGTGACCCCTCTTGAAACCAGAGCCACTCCAGCTTTAGTGGCCTGCTTTTACACTGTAGGAACATTGCCCAGTTTAGTAAAGCTCTTCATCATATAGGCTCTAAACAAGCAACCACTCCACAAACAGCTACCAAAACTGGGCTTCTTCAGAGGCTTGTTCAAGCAGCTGGGACGGGGCAGCTCTTGCACACACTCCAAAAACACATTCTGGAAAAGACATCGATGTTACACAGCTCCGGAGGTGCTGACAGGCCTCCTGATTTTGCCTCCATCAGGTTGGGGAGTTTTCCTCAGGCAGATTTTCACCAGCGAGGCCGGGAAATGGCAAGATGGGCAGATATGGCGCTAGCTCTGCAGCCAACACACATGGAACTGACCTCCTCCTCACAGGCCCAAACCTCCAACTGAAAACGCATTTGTGAATCAGCCGGCATTAAAGCTAATAATAATTAATCAGTATTAGCAAGTGTCAACACCCACAAAGAAATGAAAGGTATGCAAAATAACGGGGAGAAAGGCCCGAGGCTCCCCGGCGGGGAAGACGAGCAGCAGGGACACAAAGACTGGCGGATTCCTGTCTTTCCCTTTCCAAACTGCTCGCTCCGAGGGGGAGGCTGGAGGCGGCAGCCCCCGCCGCGCGGGAAGGGCCGCCATGCTACGGCCTGCGACATGCCACCAGCCTCCTCCCCCGAAATGGAGAAAACCCTTCAAAACCCGGCATTTTCCCCCTTTTTTGACCGTTTTCTCGGCTGCTTTCCCTCAGGGACGGCAGCAGAGGGCTCAAACGGCAGCGCCTCC